TAATCACAAAGAAATCATACAATAAAACTGTAAATTGTAAAATCAGTTAATTATTGCATTATCAATGAATAATAATTATCGTATTATCATTGTTGTATTGTTATCATGTATATTATCCGCGCATGCGTATTTGTTATCATAGTTGTCGGGTCTTTAATAAAGACCCGACTGTCGGGGATATAGCCACAGCGTATTTTTTATTGATGAACTATGTGCTTGGGTCAGTTGAATGCTCTTTTTTGATAAAAAAGTGTTTTGTTTGCTATTCATGAACTGTCTTAGACGGCCGTTACTTATTCTCTTATACTTATTATCTAATAGCCAATACGAACTTGATTTTTGAATCACTACATTTTTGTTTTCAATTGATACATTTACAAATTCTGTCTAAACATCATCCAAATTACCTACATAACACTTATCATTTTGAGATATTATTTTCGAGTACTGTTGAACTTTGAGAAAAGTCTTTAATATGAAGACCTTCAATAAAATTACCAAACTGAGCAATGTCACATAGGTCAACACATACTCCATCTGGCATATCAGTTATCAAGTCTGACAGGGTGGAAATAGATTTGGTGTTACGAGGTCTGTAAATAAAGTAATGAGATTGATTTTTATATTTTTTTTTATTGAATTAAAATGACTATTTTACATTGTCTCCTTCAAAGTAATTGCCCTGTTAATCCACACAGCGTTAGAGTTGATGTTTCCATTGATTATAGCAGTTCTGAAACTCAATTTCTGAAATGGATTTCAGTTGGTCAGTCACAGCCAATTTAATATTTTCTAGCGTCCCAAAATGTCGTCCTTTGAGATGAATTTTTATTCTTGGAAGAAGAAAAAAATTACAAGGACTCAGGTCGAGTGTATAGGAGGGTTGAGGAGCCACGGGTGACCATTGGTTGCCAAAAACTGGTAATCGACAGAAATTTTGGAACTATTTTTGTGCAGATTTTTCTCATCTCCAAATTAAATGTCAAAATTTGATAAACGGTGGTGTGAGTTAACCCCAACTTTCTCTCATCATTCTGAATTTTTGCTGACTATCTGATCGGACAAGATCCGGAACTTTGTTGAAGTTTTCATAATTTTTTGCAGTTGAAGGTCTCCCACTGCGAGGTTCATTTTCTATCAGTTCTCTGCCTTCTGAAAATGCCTTAAACCACCTAAAAACCCCTGGGCCCCTGAAAGCACACTTTCTCCATAAGCTTGTTGAAGCTTTTGAAAAGTTTCTGTTGCACTATGCCCAAGTTTAAAACAAAATCGGATAGCACATCGTTGCTCGAAATTGTCGCTGGTCATTAGAACGTAATAAAAGAAAACTGTCTTACGAAAATAATCGGCACAGATAAACACGTGACACTACAGAAATCAAACTCGTACTGAAGGCACATTACATGTTTGTTTACAAAACTTTTCAAACGCAAAGTGATAAGTGCTGCCAGATTAGAAGCTACGTTATCAGTCTCATTACTTTATTTACAATCCTTGTATGTATCAGTTTCGATCACATTTTTGCTTTTTTTTTTGGATTGATTACTTCGTCTAGTTGATTGTAGTGCAAATATTTTGGTTTATGAACAAGAATCTTCATCTACTATATTACTTATAAGTTATAACATAAAACCGAGCAAAAAACGTGATAATTAAATTGTGAATAAATAGAAAATGTATTTATATGTTTAATTACAATAATGTGAGTGTGTTTTTAAAGAACTTGAGTTAAGCTTACCTAGATAATTAGCTACATCTTTTGCATCATTCATACTTTTTAACATCCATTGATCTAAGTTTATTTCTTCAATATTGTCTTACACTGTTGATTATGTTAAACATGTACCTAACAACACAAACATAAAACACATAACATATAACACAAACATGTATAGGATAATGCAACATAGAGATCACAGTAGGTATGGTCAAGTGCAACTATGACGACTCCGAAGGAAATCCCAAATAGGGTGGCGTCCAATTTGTGTGAGCAACGTTGAATGGAAAGATTACAAGTAATTGTTGGTCCGGTGATCTTAACCAAAAACGCTTAAGCACCGTGGACCAATTTGCACAAACCAATAATCAAATACATAGTCCCTCAGGAAACGACTCATAACCTCACTGATGTCAGGAAATTGTAAGGTGTACGCGATAATTGTATGAAAACCATCTTCCATACAACAATTAGGGCACCCGGGATTACCCCTTTCAGCCGGTAGATGAGGCAATGCAATATAAAATACAAATGAAATACAACAATGTTTACTTTTAAACAAAACTCAAAATGACCATTCTGAAAATACGAGCTGCCGCTTCATGCCTCTTCACCAAATTCAAGACACCATTAACTTTTGGGTGACAATATCTAACAACTGACTGTAAAATTCATAAAAAATTTTAAATAAATATTGTTAGGTTTACCTGGCAGGTATGATAATAATGAAATGTTTTATAGTACCTGCGTGAAATGGAACCAACAGCAGAGCAAATCTCTATTTGGAAATATTCGCTGGACAGCATTCATAAGAGCACGCTCATAATCGGTTACAAAACGGATTCTGTCATAATTCAGTGGTAGAATATCGCGTATGACAGTGAATAAAGCAGAGTATGATTCTTCAGTCTCACTCCCCAAAAGGACATAGACCATTGGGAATGCCTAAATTGTAAATAACAGTATATTAGACCATTATGACAACAGTAATAAGTAATAACGAATATCAACATAATAAATTGCTTACTACACTTTTGTAGAGTATTTGAAATGTCAGAAAATATCGCAAGTCCCTTGGCACTTGAGGAACTGTCTTATATGTACCATATATCCCAACCATCTCTACTGTAGCCAATGCTTGACGATATCTGTCGATTGCAGAAATGTTTGCAAAAATAACTCCTACAATTACTCCATTCACAATCAATTCTTGATTGAAAAATGCTGAAGGAGGGAATTGAAATGTAGAAGCGTAATTTGTGTTTTGGGGGTTCCTCAACATTTCTAAAAGTTCATGAATGTCACGAGGCAATTGTGGGCGTCTTGATTGTCTCATCCTTTTTATTCTTGATTGTGTCTGGAGGAATGTATAGCTTATGGCAGCTTGAGGATGTCTAAAACAGTATAACAAATTAATACATTTTTAGCATAATTTATATATTAGTATTTCACCACAACAATTAAGGTACTAACTTACTTCATTATTTCACTGTTGTAAAGACCGGGGGTTGAAGAACTGATGGGGTTGTAACTGTGTGTTCAACAGCTCTTTCATCGAGTGCGTTCCTCAAGAATGAAACATCTAAGTCAATTGCTTCTGGATCATGATTGCGATCAGTTACAATACGAAGCCGGTTGTCCCTCTGATTAATACTGATTGATGCTGAACCATGGCACATATTATATCACCTCTGGGATTTTTTCGTTGCTCTTAAAAGAGATTTATCGTATTGATCAGTAACTTCTTTCGATAATATTTGAATCCCAAATGGTCCACATACAATTTTGAGTTGAGTCTAATGCCGGGTATTACTCAATATGTTCTTGATTCTGCATCCATAACAGTTTCTTGTGCTCCATGTTCTTCTTGTTCTACTGTTCCATCTTCTTGTTCTACTGCTCCATCTTCTTCTTGTTCTACTGTTCCATCTTCTTCTTCATCAAGTGCTGGTCCATCTTCTGATGCTTCTCTATCTTCTTCCGGTTGGGGCTGAATCTGAACTGCAGGCAACTGTTGGACATAGGTGTGATCTTGCATGTGGATGTTTGGAGCACCAACTCCTTCATCTTCGTCATTGGCTAGGATGACGTAATTGTGATCTCAGTGCCATTTTGGAGGTGTTCCTATGCTGAAAAAAGCTGAAAAAAACTTAAAAAATATTAAACAAACAAAAGAAATATAAATGAATAATGTAAATATAAATATGGTACTTACTATACTAATTTTTAATTTAGTTTTTTTTTAATTTACAACTTTTTATAATAAAATAAACGCTATAAAATGGTTATTACGAATTTTAATTTATAATACCTTTTAGGACATAATTTTAAACTTTTAAAGCTTAAACATTTTCCCCGGAGTTTTTTTTGTGTTTATTTAAAAAGAATTGTTTTTTTATTAATGCTAATATAGGCTGACTATAATTTAAATTGTTATTATTCTGAGTGCCCTCTTTACTTCATTTAATATAATTGTGCCTTGTACTGTAAAATAATTTGCTTACCAAATAGTTTTTCGGTGACATCTACTTTTTCTGCAACATAACCGGTGCAGTTCATATACGTCTGCCATCGCTCAAAGGGATCAAAATTACGTGTTTTATTTGTCCAGACAAACATTTATAAAATTAATTTAGTTCTCTTAGAGAAAATCGTTTTTGAACTGTTATTTAAATGATAATTCGAATGTGAATAACCGTAAAAATAATTTTGAATCTTACACGGATATCCCCATAGGGCAAATTACTTGGAAATATTTAGTTTCCTAGAAACTCCGGGAAAATTCAAATACATCGATCACATAGATGCTCATGCCTGTATAATTCAACAATTTTCTTAGAAAAATTATATGCACCATTCTACCTATTGCCAATTTCAAATTGTTGTGCGAATACTTTTATAATTTTTACCGTGCAATCTTTCCGTTAAAGAAAAATTTTTTCTACCATTTGTAGACCTGTAAGTCCAAAACTTGATTTACTACGATTTTCTAAAAACAAGTATTATGAAAAAATTTAACTAGTAATTGTCGTCGAGGTGGTGGTGTGCTCATTGTCATTCGTAATGACATCTTATGTAAGTTATTGCCCACATCAATTTTCAATGTTAAACATGTATTTGCTCCGTTTACGTCCTTCCAAACAGTCCTATGCATATGTATGAGTCCTTTATGTCAGCTGTCCAAATTATAATCTCTACCCATTCCGATTGTGTATTCTTATTTTGTGCCGATTTTAATCTTCCAAACGTAAGCTGGTCTAACGACAACTATTAGCTCTCTTACACTTCTATCTCAGGTACAAGAATTCTTTGCGTGCCCGAAATTTCACAACTTTTTTCAATTAAATAGTGTACCTAACTCTTGAGGTAATATCCTTGACCTAGTATTCTCTAATAACCTTTACACTTATATTTCAAAATCTGTACTGCGGTTGTACGTATCTAGGTAGGCAATCCACCTGCAGTTATAAACATACTGTACAGTGTGAGTAGACTGTGATAAATGTCATAAATGCATTGCCTGTGCTTATCTATATTATAATTAAAGAACTTTCATTTCATTCCAACGCATTTCATAATTTATTTACAGTTTATAAATATGTACACTTGTTACCCTCAACTCAAATGACCTGTGAAAGGGTATTTTCTAAACTAAAACTTGTAAAGTCTAAAATCAGATCAACAATAAGTCAACAACATTTATCACCCTTAATGCTTATGGCGATTGAAAAAGATATAAAAATTCAGAAAACGCAAATTATTGATACTATAGTTAAAATTAAAATCATCTAAAATGTTACACGAATTACTTATTTAGTATTACTTGTTTTAAAAATAATGTTGTGTCAACTTTTGTTCATTGTTTGTATTCTGTTTCTGTATTATATTTTGGGTGATATCTTTTTCATAATTTGTACTATATTATTTGTTTGGTAACTTATTAAAAAATTTCATGTGTCATTAACTATATATTTACTATATTATATAATGCATACAGTATAGAGGAATATTGCGTGAAGCATTGTACTATAGCAGATATGAGGGCTAATGACTGATCACACACCGTCTCTTTTGGAGGTGGAACATCACAACTGAGCCATCTTGCAAACCAATTAAAAATTGCAATATTTGTATGGCGTTCACTGATCATATTACTCACTGTAAAACTATGTTTCTTAGTAACATCATAAACCAATATTTCATATAAAAATAATGATTTTGTTTTTTCTGTACCACATTTTTTGAAATTACTAATAACAGATCCAGTGGCATCGATTATAATTTTTGGTCGAGGACAATTTCGACAGTAATCACAGTATAGATGAATTTGTTCACTACTTTGGTAATGAAGAAAAAAAGGAAAACAACCCATATCTTGTAAGACATTCTTGTATTCATTTTCTTCTTTCATTAATGATAAAGCTGTTATTGTGTCTTTATTTCTAAGTTTGTCTGATTTATGTCTCCATCTCAACGTTCTTAAAGCACCACCAGATGGAATAATTCCAGGTTCAGAGTCACCTAAATATTCAAATTTAAACAATATATTCAGTGGTATAAGGATATAAGGAGTAAAGTATCATATGTAAAGCATTTTATAAGTTGCTATAATGCGTCTTTATCTGTTATCTACGTTTTTTCTTGATTGTATAGTTGTGTAAAAGCCGTTTGGTGTTAATTATAATAAAATAAAATAAATAAATACATTTACAATCAGCCTAAAAAATATTTTATATTAGTATTATAAGTATTTATTTATATTTAAGTCATATTAGTATCATACTATAATGTTCTATTGTATTAATGTAATTTTAACTTCACATTTAGTTAATACCTATATATATGTATAATATAGTGCTCAGAAAAATAGGTCATTTTTGTTTTTGTTTTTTTTATATTTTGATATCAGGCTAAAAAGTAAGAATAATCCATTGTACCTATGAATAAAAAATTAAACAAATTTTCTGAATAACTAGATAACTACAGATTTAGGTAGTATGTCAATTTTTATCAAATTAGCTGTTGATTTATTCACATTGAAATTATTAAATTATATTAAATTAATTATGATACGTTAATTTTTATTAATTCATTAGGTAAGTTATTTAGTAACTAAAAAGGACAAAGTCCTATTTTGTTTCTTTCTATGGCCTAAAATTATTATTTAAAAAAAAATATTATTAGTTATTGTAACAGACAACTCAAAGATAATTAATAGATAAATAATATGTGCCTAAGTCTTGTGTCTAATATGTATCAGTACTAAAATTATATTCATTACATCTTTCAAACTACTTAAAGACTCATTATTAGTGGAAAGTTAGAAAATAAAATTAAGCTACCAATTAAATTAAATACATTTTTACCAGGTATTATGCCATGTAGGTGTAGGTACCTAATAAATAATATTATACCTGATTTCATGAGGCGTACTGCTTCAAATTCTCTATATGTTTCACTAGATTTTCCATCATTTACAATAGCCGATACCACATTGGTTTTAGCTTTTCCAGTCAATCGTCGTTTTTTAATTTTACTATGCTGATCATCAAACTGTCCAGTGTATGTGCATTCCATAAGGACTCTTCATAATAAATTACATAAAAGTTAGTTTATTAATTGTTATTATTTTATTGTATTTCCATTGCTATGAATAATATGTATAAGGATTTATCCAAAAATTGATTTAAAAATATATATATATATATATCACAAGTTAAATAATTAAAGTTATATTATTATATATAGGTACCAGAAAAAGCCAATAATATTTCAATTTTTACAATAGTTCTATAATAGTTATAAAATATATTTTATAATTATAGAACTATTAGTTATAAAATAATTTGTTAAGTTATGTACCTACCTTGCATTTTCTGATGGTTTTTCAATTATAACTCCCTTAAAATGAGAAAAGCATATTGAACATTTCCCATTTACAACAATAAAATGATTTCCTTCGTTTGTAACTTTAGCTCTTCGAAAAACAATAAAGCATGGTAAATTAGTATGCATCCATATGTGTTCAGCTAAAATATTTGTCCACGATCCTTTCGGCAGGACCAGATAAGAACGAAAACTATTTTTATTTTTATATAAAACTTCATTGGGTTCTATTTGTTTCCATTCTTCAGCCGACAATGTAATGGTAAAATGTTTAGATGGTAAGTTGTCATTCTCATCACTGCTATCACTAGATTCATCTATGAATTTTAAAATATAAGTAAGTACCTGTATTTTGTAAAATATTTATCAGTAGGTATGTAATTTAGTAAATAAATCAAAAAAATCACAATATTCTATAGAAAGGGATTTTAGACACATGAATTATATTTTATTTTTGAAAATATTTTACTGTAATTTTATAGTATGTTAATATTACCAAATTCAAAAAAAGGTTCAATACATTGAACATCACATTCAGACTCAAGTCTCTTGTTTATTGTATCAATGCCAAGCTTTTCATGTATACCATGGCGTCCTTTTTGGACAAATATATAGAGTGCACCTTTGGTAATACTGCCACCTAACCGACTACTAATGTCTGACCATACATTGTTTGATGCTACAACAATTTCTAAAATAATAAGATTATATGTAAATTAAAATTTATATTTATCTTTAAAAAATATATAATAGGTACTTTACTTAAATTGGTATTCAATTTATGATATGTATT